TGGCTTATATGCAACTTATAGGAAAAAATTTAACACTATAACTCTTATCATAAAGCTAACTAATACTAAATAAATTATATTTTAGGTCTTCTACCAATAATACATTTTCAATAAAAAAAGTGTTCTTATTGCCAATCATACATATACCTGCCACTTTTCTTATGGTATTGTCTCTCAGCATCACTTTGCCTCCATTCTGGACTTCCAGTGATATGAATTGCATTGTGTCTCTAGTCATATACTTCAAACATTCATTACCTAGGCACCAAATGCTCCCACAATGCTTTGTATGAGAGTAATTTTATAAAATGATCAAATATTAAACTTGGGAACCCAAACTTGGCAATAATAATCTAGATGCATATTTGATATGCTGTGATTTATGCATCTTAGATATCCATACTAGATGTGTTCTACTATGAATCATGTATGTGTGAGAGATATGACCAATCATTTCATACAAAAAAGTATTTTACACTAGGAAAAGGATTTATCAATCTATGTGAGTTATAATGTCTTCTCATGCGTTTTATAATTGTAAACTTTTAATTATGATTCTAAAATTATTCAGGTGTAGGAGGTGTCTTACCTACCTTAATGGCATTCAGTTTTTCTATAAAATATGAGTTTGCATTTTTTATAGTTGAATTATCAAATTTTAACTCATGTTCTCTTTAATCAAATTCAGTCATAAACACATTAAAATCATCTTCAAGTTCAGTATGAGATGATTTCAATAGTTTATGCTTTTTGTTCAAATCATCAAACTCATCCAATAATGCCATATGGTTGTTATCTATTTATGCATGATCGTTCATAAGGATTTTATACTCTTTTTATAAATTTTGAATATTCTATGTTCAATTTGGCATGCAATTTATTGAGTTTCCTATATGTAGTATGGATTTTTTAAGATTGTTCAAATAACTCATCATAGGATAAATCACATACCTCCTCTTGATCTGATTAATCAAGTTTGTTAGCCATTAAGCACAAGTTCGTGACTTCCTCCTTTACTTCTATTTTTGAGGAATCTAATGCTGAGTCTGCCAAGATTGCTCTCTGCAGTCTTTTCTTTCTCTTCCTAAAATTAGTTTTCTCCTCAACTCTCTCCTTATTAGGATTAGCTTTATGATTCGGGCAATCAAATTTAATATGTCCAGGCTTCCTACATTCATAACAAATTACATCATTATACATTTTTGCATTTCTGTTGAACTTACCCTTATTCCACTATTGACGTTTCCTTTGCTTTCTTCTCAGGAAACTTTTGAATTACCTCATCACGAGTGTAATATCATATTCATTCTCAGGTTATGGCTAATCACTTTCCAAGTCATCCACATTCAATGCAATGTTTTTCTCCTTTCACTTATCACCTACATCAATCTGTCTTTGAGTCACTCCTTGCTCGTACGCAATCAGAGATCTAAGAAGATTATCAATAGAATAAATAATTAGGTCTTTTGATTCAATAATGGTAATTATCTTTATATCATAAGTAGTAGGTAAATAAAAAAGAATTTTATTAACTTTTTTAGAATTCATTAGTTCCCTACCTAAAGCATACAATGAAGTGACTATCTATGTAAAATGAGTATGCATGTCAGTGATTGATTTATTTGGTTTCATTCAAAAAAATTTGTAGTCGTGTAATAGAATATTCAATCTAGACTGTTTCACTTCATTAGTTCCTTTATATGTTATGCAAAGTCTATCCTAAAATTTTTTTCCAGTTATACAAGTTGAAACACATATATAGTCCTTAGATTTAAGGGCACAGAAAAATTTGATTAAGCATTTAACATTTAACTGAGCTAATTATTTTTCCTCTACCATCCAATCAGTAAACGGTATTTTAATCCTAACGCCATCATCCAGTCTAGTGGGTATAGTGTAACTTTCTTGAACTAAAATCTACATGCAATAGTCAAGTGATTAAAAAAAATTATACATATAAGTTTTCCAAAAGTCGAAAGGAATATTATCAAACAGTGGTGGTCTATTGATCAAATATCCTTCAGAATTATTACAGTTTTCAAAAGTAATAATGATCATTTCCAAAAATTTATCTAAACCTTAATTTTTTAATATAGGCTCTGATACCACTTGACAGTTCGAATAGGTTGTTAAACCTAATAGATTTGTCTCAAGGCTAACCAACAGAGGGCTAAATTGGTAATTTTAAATTCTCTTGATAATTTAGAAAATTGATTTAACATTTTTAGCACAATGATAATTTTTTTCAAAATAATTTTTCAACCACTAAAAGTAAATGTGCATAAAATAAAAAATACAATAAAATTAAAGAAAAAGAAAACACCAAATTTTATAGTGGTTTAGTCTAGCTAGACCTACGTCCACTCCCTGAAGACTACTTCAGATATTGCACTGCAGCAAAGTGACTCTCCTTTAGCTCCCAAAGCAAGGCGGAGAAGCCCTTACAATGTCCCTTCCACCAAACTTTAGTGCGGTAGAGTACCGACGTCCTTTCTCACTCTCCTGTTATTGGTAAAGTACCAACATCATTTCTCACCCTCCTGGTGATGGCAAAGTACCAACATCCTTTCTCACCCTTTTGAAGATGGCAGAGTACCAATGTCCTTTCTCACCCTCCTCATAATGGTAGAGTATCAATATCCTTTCTCACCCTCTTAATGATGATAGAGTACCGGATCTCCTGCAAAGATCTTCTTTTAAGAGTTTTCAAAGAAGTAGGACAGAAATTTGAAGAACATAAAAATGGATCCTTACTTTGGGCAATCATGTGAACCCTTCACAATTTTCACTTACAAGATCTCTCAATCCTCACACCCAAACACTCTATCAAAATACTCTATCTATCTCCTAAGAAAAAATTCACAGAAGAAGTAGGATAGTCACTTTTTAAGACTCTAATATATAAAGGATAATAAAAACTATCAAAAAACTAAAAAGTTTAAGTTGAACGTACTTGAATCATATAGTATGATTGTACTTTATATGTAAAAACAGTTCCAAAATCCATGTACAATCCTGTACGAACTGATTTTTATACTCTGTTAGTTGTATATACGAACTAACATCATATAGTATAAGCAATTCAAAAACTGAACAAGTTTGTCCGGTATGATTTTGTACGAACCCATTTCGTGCATTGGTCATCATATATATGAACCCTAAATCATGCAGTATGAACTATTAAATTAAATCATGCTTTGTATGGTACAAATATGGACAAACCCATTTTGTACTCTAGATGTCATCTGTACGAGTTAAATTTTATATAGTACGAACAATTCAAAAAATGTATCTATTTGTGTGGGACGAACTAGTACGCACCAATTTTATACTCTAGACGACATCTGTACGAACTCCACTTCATATAGTATGATTAGTTCAAAAAATGGTGAGTTTATTTGGGACGAATAGGTATGTATCCATTTTGTACTATGGACATCGTCTATATGAATCCAACTTTGTACAGTATGAACAGTTCAAAAGAAAATTTCCAAGGCATGATTCGATCAACTTCATTTTGGAGAAAGTTGCATGTCAAATTGTCCAGTACGATTCAAGAATCGTACAGTACGATTAGTTTTAAAATTAAAAGATTTCACTCACTTCCCTTTTGTGTGTTTGCATGGTTACTCAATTACAATCACACTCTCTCAGACTCAAAAAATATAGAAAAATTTTACAAACTTCAATTATAAGAAACCCTAATCAAATCTATCATGAAGTCTTCGATAGTCTGAAGTATGATTTTTCTGAAACGTTAGTACACACAAATAACACAAACAAAATTTTTATAATATATGTTATGAAAAATAATAATCAACAAAATAATATTTTGGCATCATCAAAAACTCAATAAGGTGGATCCAAGTAACGTCAACATGGATCCAGGTGACTTAAATTTTCTTTTCCATTTCAAGCAAATAGTTTTTCTTCATTCTAAAAGAGATGGTAACAAGTTAGCGGATCTATGTGCTAACCTAGCTTTGATTTCAAAATTTTTTTGGAATGACATTAGTTCCAATAAAATTCCTCCTTCATTCTTCAATTTGTTGAAGAAGGAATTTCATTGTTTGTAGTTATCTTTTAATAAAATTTGCTATTTGCATTTTCTCAAAAAAAAAAAAAAAAAGTTGCAACAATTCTAGCACTGCAGCACCTCTAAAATGAACTTACGTCGCAGCACTAAAATGTTTCCTCTGCTACGACATTGGCTGACATGGACCCACTGATTAATGAATCCACAGATCGCTTCAGTGGTAGATCATGGCCAAAAGAAATATAATTATAGCACCATGGCATTGCTAACGGTTGAGCTTCTGTGACATCCACGTTACACTCCCTTGACTTAGCGACGTTGGAATTTTGCACTACTGTGCTACGTCCTTAGACACTGCACAAACACAACTAAAATTACATATTTTTACTGAGAAATTAACACATAAAACATTATATATTTTACACTTATCACAGAGCAGTATATAAAAATCCCTTAAAAATTAAATGTCATTTGCTCTAAAATGATGCATGATCAAATTTTAAATATTTTTGAAATCAAAGAGCCCATTATGTTGATTCCATAGAGCCCAAACATGCAATGATTGGGCAATAATTGAATTAACTATGAATTTTCAAAAATTTAGTTCAAACCATGACCTAGGCTTTTGTAAATTCAAGTATGAGCATTGTTGATCTAAAATAATCCTAGAAAAATTACCATATGTGAGAAATGTCCTTCAAACTACCTTAGCCAAATTTAAGATAGCATACTTTCATTATCATATTTTATCTTACATAACTTTTGGTGGTCTTAAATAATCCTAGAAAAATTACTATATGTGAGAAATGTCCCTCAAACTACCTTAGCCAAATTTAAGATAGCATAATTTCATTATCATATTTTATCTTACATAACTTTTGGTGGTCTTAAAAACTATTTTGGGACAATTGAACAATTACACATTTCTACCACCACCAATAACAATATGCCTTTAAATTGCGTATGTTGGCAACCCACACAATAAGCATGATACTATTATTTGGCAACGCATTCGTATGAAATTTCACATGTTGGGTATCCACAAGTCATAAACAGGTCGATAGACAGCTTTTTGTTGAGCAATCGCCGTCTGAATTGATTCAATCTCATAATGAACAGAAACATTAATAAGACAGCAGATCAAATTTCTCTCATGATTACCTTCGAGCTCAGAACTACATTTCATTAAAAAATGAGGACGTCAGTTCCAACCGCTTCGAAATGAGAATCACTAACCCTAACAAATTCTGGTTTCATTTCAAGATTAATTTTCAGTCACTTATATTGCAACAATGACCATCAGCTCTCGGTCACCTGATATTTTACCTGGACAAAAGAGGCTAGGTTCCAGTCTCAAGAGCTTCTGCAAAACCTGCTATGCTAAGGTACACCAAGAAGCTCACGAGTCCCTTTGCTTGTAGACTCAACATAATCCTTGCTAACTATTTCTGGAACACGCATGCTTAAGCTGCTAGATGGAAGATTACTGGGGTTTGCCGCTGCCACAGACGCTGGCTTGTATGTTTTCCTAGCCTTTCGAGTTGGCCTGCCAATTGAATTAGACGGTCTCCATGACCGCTTTGTGCCAAGAAGCCCACTTGCAAGAGCTTCCAATGCTTTTGCAGTAGGAGGCCGGTTCCTCGTGCTTTGCCTTCGTATCCCAGTTGATGGGTGCTCATCAGCAGGAACATAATTGGAGTTTTGTATTGATACTTCGTTACCAACATGCTGTTTCCCTGCTGAAGATTGAGGCAAGTCTTCAGTTTTAAACTCATTACTTGAGGATTCAGCAACAACTGCATCAGGCGGAAGATTGTTGAGGTCAAAAGAAGTTCGGGATTTCAGCTTATCCTCAGGTAGATTTTTCATGCCCGCAAGGCCATTCACTTCTTTGCTCATAAAATTATGGTAAAGGTTTGTTTTCTCTTGGAATGGACTTGCATCAGGAAAAAAAGTACCAGCAGCTTTAGTGCGAACAGCTTTTGAGATCTCCCGCTTATCTAGTTGAATATTTTTAATAACAGAACAAACGCGACGATCAGTTCCCCTATTACAAGCAGTCAGATTCCTCCGCTTAATTGTGGGAGCGGAACAGTTTGCTTGGCCAGATCTTACCCTCCAGCTGTTTTGACACCTTAGTTCCACTGTTGTATCATCTTTCAACCTAACAAAATGTTTATCATCGAGAGCAAATCCATTAGAAGTAGCAGCATTTGGGAAAGGTATTAAACTTCTAGGCAGTTCAAACTGAGTTGTCCCATTATCTTCTGGTTTCTTCTCAACGAATGCACCAGAATTGGAGTCATCTTCAGCATCAGAAATATCAGTAGAATCCCCTGTTTCCGATGAGCTCTCACTCCTAGATTCCTGAGAATCAGCGAAGGGGTCATAGCTGGAGTTGACGCCTAAGGGTAAACTCCTTACTTCCATCACCTTGAAAGATCCTTCTCTTGGAACCAAACTGGTGTCCACAACAGTAAATTTCATACGCTCAGAGTTGCAACTTGGACGCCGTGGATGCAGGTAGCAATGACGCAGTCGATTGGAGGAAGAACCATTTTGGCATACCTTGGCATCTGCATCCCATCCATTTCCTTCTTTAACCCTGCTACCACTTTTCACTTCTTCAACATCCAACTCAAGAAGCTTTGGGTCTGAAGCCACTTTGCTTAATACATCACTTACAGAGTCAAAAAAATGGGTTCCCTTTACAAGCCTCTTCCTTGAGAACTTCTTAACCCCGGGAACAAGAAATACGAGAGAGTTCTTAAAACGCAAAGAGCCATGGTCTCTTGGCTGCTCGGAATGCCATCCCCTTGCCAGCAAACGGGGCCAAACAGCCTCCCAGAAGAGATCATTTGACCTAGCCTTGCTTAGCCTGAAATCTCCTGTAAGAAACTTGATGATATCCGCAGATGTCAGGGAGGAGCATGCTCTCCCAACAGGTATCTCAGGATGAAGAGAAATAGCTGGGTTTGCTCTAACATGATCCAACGCCACTCCAGTAAGGTCCTGTGTCCCCTTGCCAATTCCGATAGCTTCTACCAAAACATGTAAACCAACAGCAGTCTTGATTTTAGAGACAAATTTTTCCAGAGTTGCTCTTCCTTCATTAAATGTCTTAGTAGCCTACAAGAGAGTATCACTTTAGCTGCATCGCAATGTATAATAAAAGCTTAATATAGAATACAAATATAAGAACGGATGCCAAGGCAAAAATGGTGCAATAAATCTCAGAAAGGAGGTCTCCACATGACTATACCAATTGTTTTGAGCTTCTACCAGAAATTATTACGTGCGGAGTCCCGGTGTATATCTACGTCCAAACTGTTAGTGTACACTCACAATTTGGACATAACTCTATTTCCGGACTCCGCACAAAATAATCTCTCTACAATTGCACCTTATAAAGAAGAGATATTGTAGGCAAGATTCACATTTCTATAGCTTTATTATATTTGACTGCAGTTCTCCTCGCACGCCACATACGCCAACAACATCTCAACAGATCCTGAAAGATCCTGAAGAGACAGCTTGGCACCATTTAAAATGGAGAATTACAAGATGTTGTAACGTAACTCGAGGAACCTGGTGTAATCTTGAGCATGAATTTCAAAATAATAGTAGCTACGGCAGAAGGCACTCAAGATCTAAATCATTCATGCACATAAAAGAAAAGGTACTGAAGGGATAAAAGATAAAAACAAAAACAATGGAACCTATAAAAAACATAAATTCTTCTACGGTGTTTGAATCTCCAAACCACAATTTTCAGCAGTGAAAAGATGATTAAGCTGCAGGCCAGGGTCTACCAAATTATTATAATTCCTACCACTTGAAATCATGGCAGTAGCACATCTTGAGCATAGAAAAGAAGGAATGAGAAAGATAGAACCAAAGAGAAATGATAGAATGATCCTTGCAACTGTATCTCCCTAAGTACCCTGCTGATAAGCATCAATCCTCTTCGGTTTAAGATTATGGCGGTGATAACAACTAAACTATGATTATGGGGGGCTTAATAGTTCCAAGAATGCGGGCTTACAATTATTAAGTTGAGACGTAAGTCTAACATCCTCATAACTACAGAAGACGGGTAAAATTAATCCTTCTTCCTTAAATGTGGGATTGGATACCTTGCTCTGATATTCTTAAAGCAGCTATCATAACCTTGAACCTTGAAGGTATCACAGATGCAACAGAAAGGAATAGCAATACGAGAAAATAGAAGTTTCAGTTCAATCCAGCTCCTTTAGCTTCCTGTATTCTCTTCATGTTTTTTCTAAGAATTAATGGAGATTTTCTTACTTATTTCGACAACTTTGAATTATATCACAGATGCAACAAAAAAGGAATAGCAATACGAGAAAATAGAAGTTTCAGTTCAATCCAGCTCCTTTAGCTTCCTGTATTCTCTTCATGTTTTTTCTAAGAATTAATGGAGATTTTCTTACTTATTTCGACAACTTTGAATTAGCTTTGTAAAACCTTATTCTCTATTGATTTGTATTATATTTAAATGCATGACTTATTCTCTACTGAATAGAGATTTACTTATTCTCTATTGAATAGAGAATTACTTAAATGCTCCATGAGATTTTCATTCTACTTTGCATAAATCTTTTTTGGAAGTTTAGCTTTGGTCATCCGTTTTCTTCCTAGTCTTTCTACTTTAGTTTGATTTATCCATGCTTATCAATGCATCTTTTAACCTCAGTTATGCATGACCAAACTGTCAAGTTTTTTATTCCACTGCTTAATCTTTATTAGGAGGTGCTCGCAACATCTCTTTCATAATAAATATCATCATTTTTCTATCATAGCCTTTCAATTGTCATCAAGGTTTTAAAAGTCCATTTAAGTCCCTTCGTAATGTATTTTAAATTTCATTTGTTTCAGTAGTCTCACCAGATTTGGTTATTGTTTTGGTTAAATTTTAATATTTAATATTATATAAGTATTGTTAAGGTCTAAGATAAAGAAGATTTTAATATAAAATTTGATAGGCCTCATTTATTTGGTTTTAGTAAAACTTTGATAACTGCTTGAGAGCATTATGAGTTTTGATCTATAAAGCATCTTGATCGAAACCTTTTATGACTTGTGACGGAAACCTCTAAGTTTCATCCCAAAATATAATAAAACCCATTGAGTTCTTATTAAAATAGAATAATTTATTAAGAGTTTTAAATCGATTTTAACCAAAATCATTGAAATTTAATCCCATAAATCCTATTCTGCCAAACTCAACTTAATTATTAATAGTTTTTTATTACCCAACATTTAAATTCATAATTGTTTTCCTATAAATTTATCCTTAAACCTCTATAATATTCCCTTACAATATAGTATTTGTATTTGTAAAGCACTTTTTTAATTCACCTATCATCAACAATAGAAATAACATTTAATATTGATACCTCCCTTCTTCTATATAAAAAATCCAAAATAATCACATTTTTTATGAGGGTTAGCCGAGCAAACCAACCCTATAAAATCCATAAATTACGTCGGTCATATATTTTGATAACCATGCAGCGCCCATCAATTAAAAGATGTGCGTGGCATACATAGCCAACCGACAAAAAATAATCACATTTAAATATGAATTCATCTTCGAATAACATTAAAATGTTAGAAATTGATGCGAGCCGGAACATTCGTGGCGATAGAGAGATAGAGAATTTAATGTCCTAACTTTATACGAAATCCAACACACACATATATATGAGATAGGTGCAGCAATCATAAGAGATACCAAAATTTTTACATGGAAAAACTTCAAAATGGGAAAAACCACAGGGTGTTTATGACTTCAAATGATTCCACTAATGTTTATCATTGATTACAAATGATGCGCTTCTTCGAGGGAAGGCGTGTTAAATCTTGAATAGGTTTTTAAACCTAAGTTTATGTCCCAAGGCTAACCAAGAGGGGGATGAATTGGTAATTTTAAAAATTCTCTTGGATTTTAAAATTTGAAACCAGTTAAAGATTCGTAGCAAGTTAATTGAAGTAATTTGAAAGTACATTTTTCAACCACAAAATTAAAACTGCAGTAAGCAGCAGAAATTTAAACGACATAAAGATTTATAGTGGTTCGGTCAAACACGACCTACATCCACTCCCTGAAACTCCCTATTTAGGTATTGCAATATTACCAAAAGCGACTCTCCTTTTGCCCTCATAGCAAGACGAAGAAGCCTTTACAAAACTCTCTTCCACCAATCCCCGGTGCGGCAGAGAACCATCATTCTTTCACACATTCTAAGTGTAGGCAGAGAACCTTCGTCCTTTCACACCCTCCAAGTGTAGGCAGAGTACCTTCTGCTGTTCACACTCTCCAAGTGTTGGCGGAGAACCGACGTCCTTTCACATCCTCCAAGTGTCGGCAAAGAACTGTCATACTTTCACACTCTCGAAGTGTAGGCAGAGAACCGTCGGCTGTTCACACTCTCCAACTGTGGGTAGAGAACCGGATCTTCTTCAAAAATCTTCTCACGAGCAATTTAGAAAAATAAGAAGAAGAGTAAAAAACACAAATCACATAGAAATCCTTACATTTGAGTAACCTTGTGAACCCTTCGAACTCCACTCGCAAGAAATCTCTCTCAAACACTCTCACACACTCTCTCCTTCAATTGCCCTTGAAAAATCACGAAGCAAAAATTAAAAAGAAGATGTTAACGTCAGTTTTTAATGGACCTTTTATACAAAAGACACGAAAAACCTTTCAAAAACTGAAACTTTTAATTTTGAGCGTACACGATCGTATAGTACGATCGTATGTACGAATAGTTCAAATACTGTTGCGTATGAACCTATTATGAATCAGTACAAAATCATTTCATACCCGATCATCGTCCGGTACGAAACAAGTTCGTTCGGGATGGACAGTCAGAAAATTTCAAAATTCGTCTGTACGAAATGTTGAGACGAAATGAGCGAGAATAGACCTGAGACGTTCATCCTTGTACGAAACTGGAATCGTCCCGTACGATCCATACTTAGAAAAAAAAATTGTACGAGAACAGAACCGAGATGTTCGTCCTTATACGAAGCTGGGATCGTCCCGTACGATCTTCGTGCGAGAACAGACCCGAGATGTTCGTCCTTATACAAAGCTAGGATCGTCTCGTACGATCTTCGTGCGAGAACAGACCCGAGACGTTCATCCGTGTACGAAGCTAGGATTGTCCCGTACGATCTTCGTGCGAGAATAGACCCGAGACGTTCGTCCTTATACGAAGCTAGGATCGTCCCGTACGATCCATACTTAGAAAAAATATTTTCATTTCTGTTCGTTCAACGGCTCGTCGAGAAAAATAACTGATTAGATCGTCTCATACGAAGTGATATCGTACAATACGATAAGTCTAAAAAATATGAATTTTAAACTCTCTCCCGGTGTCTGTGCTCAGTTATTCAATTACAATCACACTCTCAGACTCAATAAAATGAAAAATACATACTTCAATTATAATAAACTCTAAACTGATCTTGATTTCAAGTCTTCAACAATCTGGAGTATGATTTTTCTGAAATGTTAATACACACAAGAGCAAAACAATTCTTCCAAAATATGTTAGGAGAAATAATAATCAAAGCAATAATATTTGGAATCATCAAAAACATACAAGTTGCAAGAATATCAAACATGCAAAAACTAAGTAGCAACTATCTCAACAAGGCGTTGGCTCAATCTAGCAAATATAGGTTATATAGAGTATATTACATAATTAAAGTTTGAAGAATCAAATGACAAGAGAGTTGTTCACAAAAAATGTTGGTCTGTTCATTTGTTCAGTAGGATCATAATCAGACGACGGCGACTGGAGAGACCATAGTCGAGCGGCAGAGGTCAAAGGGATTGTAATTTTGCGATGGAAGTCAATGGGGCTATAGTTGGGCGATTAAGGCTGAAGAGACCATTATCGAGCAACGGTTGTTGACATGATCGTATTCTGCATACGAGAGAGGTTAAAAAGATCGTAATCGGGAGATTGAGGTTGAAGGGCCGTAGTCGAAGAACAGAAGTTGGAGGGATCGTAGTCAGATGACGGAGGTTGGAGGGAACGTAATAGTGGTCTGAGGACCATAGTTGGTGGGCAATGAATGTTAGACGGACT